GGCACATGGCCGGGACGGGAACATTTTTGCAGCCAATCTTGGAAGGGAGAAGGAAGCAGAGAAAGGAATCTTGGAAGAGGCAGCCCTTGGTGTAGGGGCGTGCTTTGGAGATGTGGTTCTTGGCTTGGGGAGCAATTCAAGAGAAGGGAGACACCAGTCCCGGGTCACAGCATGGGGCCCCAGGCAGGTGGATGGAGGCTTAGGGTGTGTACATGCTAGCATCCCTGAGAGGTTGCAGGGGAGGGAGAGCTTCCAGGGTTTCCTTCCAGTGAGAAAAACAAATGGAGGTAGGAAGACCCCGCCCCTTACTGAGAACTTGGTATGTGAAAACGTTCTCGCTTATTCTGTGCTGGGTTTTAGAGTGCACAGCCAGCTTCTGAGGGCCATCGTAGGTTCCTTTGAAACCTCGGGTCCTCAGGCCCTTTGTCTCTGCATCAGGTCAAGTCTGTCTGTCTGTCTGTCTGTCTTTCCTTCCTTCCTTCCTTCCTTTCCTTTCTTTGTTAGGTTTTTGCTATAGGTTACAACGTGCGCTTGCCAGAAAGACAGAGACAGAATGTGAGAAATTACCCCAGGGGGGATAGCCATGCCGCAGTCCCTTCTCCATTCTCCTCTCAGGATCTTGGGCCCACATACACATGCCGCTGTTGTGAGTTTAAGCCACCGGGTCTGGTAATCGAACTGCGGTCAACTACATGGGAGTCCAGCAACTGCGGGTCCCAGGGTTTGTAATTTCCTAACCAAGGTCATGTGGGTTGATCATTGGCTGGGCCCACTGATTGCTTTCATCTCATTGGCCGTTTCAAATATGGCTTATTCAGCTGAAAATCCTACCCTGGAAATCTTCCTTCTTTACCTCGGGTAGGGAATTTTCGACCCTGATCAGTTTTTCTATCTATGCACTTAGGCAGGTGCTCCAGCCATCTTACCCACTTCCATTTTCTTTTTCTTTTTTTCCTCTGCTATAGGGCACGTGTGCTTGCCATAAAGACACAGAGAGAGAGACAGAAAGCGAGAAATTACCCCTCAAGGGGGATGGCCACGCCCCAATCCCTTCTTCTCCATTATCCTTTCGGGATCTTGGGCACGCACGCACACGCGCCCAGCATGAGTTGAAGCCACCAGGTCCAGGACTCGAACTGTGGTTGACTACATGGAAGTCCAGCAACACAGCCATTACGCTAACTGCTGGTCCCCCCACTTCCATTTAGTTCTCTTCCTGCCTAGTATCCCACTAGGGCTTTCCGGGATGCAGGTAGAAAATGTGGGACTAGGATCAAAGACCTAGATAAGGGCTTGCAGGTCGTCATTTTACACAGGTGAGAGTTGTGGGCGAGACCTTGCTGGATTTAAGGGGGACAGAGGGCCATGGAGCTTGTTCACTCGGGAGCAAAGAAAACGATGGTGGGGAGGAGGGCCAAAGAACAGTGTCAGGGGGACCAGCAGTTGGTGTAACGGCTGCGTCGCTGGACTCCCATGTAGTTGACCATGGTTTGAGCCCTGGACCCGGGCACATGTGCGTGCGTGCCCAAGATCCCAAGGGGAGAATGGAGGAGAAGGGATTACAGTGCAACCATCTCCGCTGGGGGGTGATTTCTCGCTTTCCGTCTCTCCCTGGTGAGTGCATGTGCCCTATAGCAAAAACCTCTCAAAGAAAGAAAGAAGCGTGTCAGGAAGGCTGGGAGAAGAGCACCCCAAGGAGGAGGCGTGTGAGTGGGGACACAGGAAGGGTTCTTTGGGTCCTTTGTGCATTTCCAGTTGGCCAGGAGGGCGAGGGCCTGAGCGAGCCTGGATGGGTGCGCTGGTGTTGTACGGTGGCCATGATTCACACGTGCCGTCGGTGCTGCCATCTCATCTCATAGACGAGGGCACAGAGGCTAGGTGCCTCGCTGGACTGAAGCTGGGAGCAGGGGCCTGGTCCCAGGCAGTCGCACCGAGCACACACACAGACTATCGTGGTGCTGGTCAGGGGACAGGAGGGGATCAGGCACTTCTGTTTGTCCTTCTGACTCCTTTCAGGAGTTGGGCTGAGGGGAGAGCTTGGTGATCATACAGGGGAGAGAAGGATAAAACCATTTTTTTCTCTCCTGAGTTTCCCCTACATTCAGCCCCCTGAGAACTGGGGAATCTTAATGACAAAACCAGGCGTACACAGAAGGAATGACGCAGGAGGCCACAGTGGGTGACTCAGGGAACTGGACATGCTCCTTTCTCCTGTGTCCCCGTCTGTGGCCTCGGGCTGCTTCTACATGGACACACTGACAAAGCAGAGATTTCTGAAATGAGCAGGGATTTTCCTGGGTGATGCTGGTCTTCGTGTCTCTGGCCAGCCCACACTCATGGATCTGTACTTTTTCCTAGAAGGAGACTTGAGCAGCAGCTAACGTGCCTATTAAAGTCATTAATGTCTCTTGCCTGCTGGTTCTAGAGATTATTTATGGCCTCGTTTCTTGGGACTGCCTTTCCCAAATGCCACTTAATCCAGTTTAAGTGGCTTTTTCAGAAAGCTGCAGGTGCTGTCAGTGATTAGACCATGCTGCCCTCTAGCGTTCTTCATAAGCCACTACAGGCAGGAGCAGTTGTGTCTGGAAGTTACTATTATCAGCTGTTGTGTTATTCCCTGATTCCGAGGCTGGCTCTGAATGTGGACTTCATGCTAATTCCAGGCAACTCAAGGCCAAAAGGTCTCAGGTTAAGTGGGAGCATAGGGCCCTCTGTCGGTGGTTGATGCCCAATCTGAGATGATGTCTGCAGAGTGAAATGGGAACAGGTTAAAACCCAGTGTGCATTTCTTTTTCTTTCCTTTTCTTGAGAGGTTTTTGCTATAGGGCGTGTGCGGTCACCAGAAAGAGAGAGAGAGAGAGAGAAAGCGAGAAATCACCCCCCTGGGGGGATGGCCACGCCACAATCCCTTCTTCTCCGTTTTCCTCTCGGGATCTTGGGCACGCACGCACACGCGCCCGGCATGAGTTTAAGCCACTGGGTCCCGGACGCAAACTGCGGTCGAATACATGGGAGTCCAGCGACATAGCCATTATGCTAACTGCTGGTCCCTCCAGTGTGCAGTTTCTCAGTCAGCCGGTGTAGCAGGTAAGCCAGTCTCTGTATTTTGTGTGCTTGTCTCATGAGAACAGTAGAATGAAAGCAAGACTCTGACCTCCTTCCTGCGACTGCTCTTGTGCACAGATGCCTCCCTGGGAAGCCTGGAGAACGGGACGGGACCTGAGCATCACGTTCTGCCAGAGCCTGGGCTTCGGTACAGGTGAATATTAAAACACCGAAAGAGAGAGACGGGGAAGAGCTGGAGAAAGGGGGAGAGAGAGTGGTATTTCTGGCAGGGTCTTCTGGTGTCAGGATCCTCCCGGCTCAGGCTCCCAGTGAGCTGGATTATAGGTGTGTGCAGCCACCCCAGCCAAACACAGGCCTCTCAGGTGGCTTCCAGGTGTGACATTGCAGCAGGACCCCAGTTGGTCCTTGTGTAGGGACAGGAGAGCCTCTGCCGGGATTAAAGGGGAGGCCTTGCTTCATATTCCTGCTCAGGTTTAGTCTTTCCGTCGCAGGCTGAAGCTGCCAAGGGTCTCAGCTTGTCCGTACTCAGAGACGTGGTTATAAGGGACAGCATTTCTCAAACCTCATTTACGTGCCGCCTTTGCTTTTCACCCTTTTTGGGCTGTGTCTGATTACTTCTTCTATCATTATTCTTTTGTTTAGTTTTCAACATTTTTTTAATTGATAAAGGCACATGTACTTGCCAGAGAGGGGGAGAGAGAGAAAGGAGAAAGTACCCCCACCCCCAGGGGAGCACGGTCCCGCCACTATCCCTTCTCCCCCATTTCCCCATCCGCTCAGGGCTTCGAGCATGCACACGTGCCTGCTGTGTTTTTCAAGCCTTTTGGGGTGGGATTTGAATCATGATCAGCCACGCGGGATCCATCTCTCTGAACCACTGCACTGCAGAGCCAGCCAATGGTTATTTTCTTAATTTAAATATTCGTTCGCATTTGACAATATGATATTATATAATATTTAAGTCATTTAGGTAACATAATATTTATACGTTGCTTAGCATACTGTCTGACACGTAGTAAGCACTGTATAAATTTTCCCCTTTTTAAAAGTATCTGGAAAGGGATGTAATAATACTTTTTATTTTTTAAGAGAGATTTTTGCTATAGATTTGTGCACTCACAGGAGAGACAGAGACAGAAAGTGAGAGATCACCCTCCAGGGAGGATGGTCATACCGCACCCTTCTCCTTTATTCTCCTCTTGGGACTTTAGGCATGCATGCACATTGACCAGCATGAGTTTCAAGGCTCTGGGTCTAGGACTCAAACCGTGGTCGGCCATGTGGGAGTGCGGTGACATAATCATTACGCCATGGGCTGGTCCCAATGAAACTATCTTCAAGGGGCCCCCAAAGCCGTCTGGCCTTGCACGGCAGAGCTGAGGTGGACACCACCAAGTCCTGGTGCCATCATTGTCTGCTCTTCCTGGTGTTTTCTTCTCTTCCTGGTTTTAATTTGGCATCTCCGGGATAGATCACATCTTGTTTTCATCTTAGCTCCATTGTAGGAGTTCCTGACTACTCAGATACGGTCCAGAAAGTGCACCAAGTACAGGCAGTGAGCTGGCCAAGTTGGACAAGTACGGCACAGAAGCGTGCTTGGTGACCTGGTCTCACCCGGAACAGACCGGGTCCTCTCAGGAAATGACACTGCCTGTTGGAGGCTTGTACAGTCAGCGCAGTGTCAAGATGGGCGTCACCAGGCCCTTCCAGGGCTCAGAGTTCGTTTTTCTTGTTTGTTTTAGAAAATTCAGAAATTGCAGCAATGAATGAACAAACATCTATTTTCACCCCAACTCCATTACACTGTTACTTTTGGTGCTTTCTTCCCAACCAGGTTGTGTGTGTGTGTACGCGCGCACGTGCGTGTGTGCGTTAACCACACGACGGCACCATCGCTTAATGAAAGATGTTAAATGTTGTTTTCTCTTGATGTAAACCCGTTGTTAGTACGGAGCCGATTCCCATTGTACGCCATCGTGTACTCTGTGCAGTGGCTGAGAAGCCTGAACCATTGTCCCTGGAGGGGGCGAGTACAGGGTTAGGTTCCTGTGAGCATGCATAGCCTGGTCTTGCAGAGGCCCTGCTTATAGACACCTTATTTAACACACGTTGCTTCATTAACTGGTGCTCAGACCGGCAGAGCTCTGCCTTGTGGGCCTGATGAAGCTGACCTCGCACACGCATTTCTCCAAGGGCACCCTGCAGCCTCGTGCGAGAATGCTGGACAGCACTTCAGCACTGCAGTAAGGACCATTGAAACAGCAAAATTACCACCACCAACAAAAGACCAAGAATGTGGAAAATGTGGAACTAACTAGAGCATGAAAAGGACCCTTGTTGGCAGTGGGAGAGCTCCAGCCCGAAGGCGGAGTGTGGCCCCATTTGGCCTCAGCCTGGAGCGTGCCTGTTGGAGACTCAGATTTCTGGCAGCTCCGACAGGGTCACGAATGATGTGGAAGTGCCACCAGCATTGATTTGGGGTTACAGATAACATCGTAGTGAGCAGACAAGTTTGCAGAATGGAACCTGCGAATAGGGACGGTTGGGAAATTTCAGATGGCTGCCTTTATCCCTTCTCGTGGGTGTCCTGAGTCAAACAGCACCTGCTAGTTTTCTGAATGGCGAGGCTGTACGTGTTCAGTGCTGACTATAACTTCCGTTTGCCTGCCTTTTCCCCAGCGTGGAAGCCATCTCTCCAGGCCAAGGAAGTCCCTTGAGCAACCTGTTACCTGCTGCTTCAGTTCCAGAGTCGATGACTATTAGTAAGTATTTCCCGAGCCGCGTCCCGTGTGGGCAGCGCGTGGGCCTGTGCGTCGCTGCAGTGCCTTTGTGCGCTCCTCCGTGACTGCAGACTGCGGAGTGAGGGCTAAAGTGGGTGTGTGTGGCTGCTGTGGGCTCGAGAGTGGTGTGTGTTGAAGGCTTCTGGTTAACATGTGGTGGTTGTGTGTGTGTGTTCTGAAGAACATGCCTCAAGGTTTCAGGGTTTGCCTTCTCGAAGAACTGTCCTAGTTGGGTTTCCTTTGTGACCCTTGCTGTGAGTAAGGGACATGCCTAGATGAATAAACCTTGCGACGGGCAGTCGGACCTGTTTCCGCCTTCACTACCTGGAAAGATAAAGTAGGTGTGAATGGCTGTTTCATACAACAAAGAACAGGCCAGCTGTGCCTAATGAACTCGAAATTCAGCTCTCTGTCCAGGGGTAGGCCAGCTGGAGTCCACCCTGGCTCCAAGGTGAGCAGAGGCCAGGGCTTTTTCTGTCTTGCCGTACAGCCCAGAGTAACTGTTTCAGCTGCAGTCATTCCACTTTCATCTGAGGTGGCAGGAAGGAAGAGGGCAAGAGTTTCTCCATTTCCACATATTAGATGACATCAAAACTTCGTGGGAATGTGGATTAAAGTCTAAGTGTGGGGTCAGCTGGTACTATGGTGGTTAAGGTGGCTGCATCCCACATGGCTGAATGCAGTTCAAGTCCTGGACGTGGTGCCTTGAAAAACATGCCAAGCACATGTGTGCGTGTGCCCAAAATCCCAAGAGGAGAATGGATCCTGGTGTGGCTGTCCCCCTGGGCAGTGCTTTCTTGCTTTCCTTCTTTCTCTTTCTCTCTGGTGGGTGCATGTGTCCTCTAGCAAGGAAACAAAACAAAAACAGGGCAAGTTTATTTTGTTGCCAAAAAAAAAAAAAAAAAGGAAATCCATGCATAATTCTTCTGTAATACACATTTTCTGTGAACTTTATGAAGACCCCTTGTATGGGATTCAGGGGTCTGAACTTGAATAGGGTGAAAACGACAACTGTTTCCCACCAACTGCTGGCTGAAATGTTGGGGTACCGTACCCTTCGATGATGAAGGTGGCAGCAACCGTAGAAACCACAGCTGTGTCAGTGAAATGGGTGCCTTTGTCACAGATAAGTCAGTCCCCTGTAACAGGTGTGACACAAAACAAGCCCTCAGGGTGTCATTTCTCATTGAAAACATGGCAGTCCTTTAACATGACAAAGACATGTGTTTGTTACCATGTCACTCTACTTCAGCGTAATGGTTTCCTCTGTAATCCCATGTGCTTTATGTCTTTTTTTTTTGGGGGGGGGGAGAGGTTTTCGCTATAGGGTGCGTGTGCTCGCCAGCCAGACAGAGAGAGACATAGAGACAGAAAGCGAGAAATCACTCCCCAGAGGGGATGGTCACGCCGCAGTCCCTTCTCCTCCATTCTCCTCTCGGGATCTTGGGCACGCACGCACACGCGCTCAGCGTGAGTTTTAAGCCACCAGGTCCGTGAACCGCGGTCGACTACGTGAGAGTCCAGCGACATAGCCATTACGCTAACTGCTGGTTCCCTATGTCTTTTAAGACATTTTCTGGAAGGGAGTCCTGGGCTTCCCCAATCTGCAGAATGCACCCCTGGGGCGAGACAGACAGAGACTCCCAGCTGTGAGGAGCCTTCCTGCAAGGTGCCCACACTGTGCCTCTCTTTCGCCAATGGTCCTTGGCCTCCCCTACATAGGAGGTAATATGACTGATTAAAAGAAATGGTTTTCATGACTAAGGGAGGAAGAGCAGGGTTTGGGAAGCTAGCAGTGTATTCTGATGCCAGGGTGAAAGACAGGAGGGGGTGCTGTGAGCTGGTGTGTGCGATGCCCAGCCTCGCTTGTGCCATGAACCGTGGTTTATACTGGCATCCTCAGCCTTTCGTTCAGCTAAACACCCGGTGTGCAGAGCAGGGGGTGGGCGAGCGCGTAGGTCGCTGGTTTTCAGATTTTAGTTTTTTTTTTTTAAACCACTGCACTATTACTTAACTTATCATTTGTTTTTATTTTTAATGGTGCACTTAAAAAAATACTTGAATATCAGAGTCAGCAGATGGTGTGGCAGTTACATCCCTGGACTTCCACATGGCCAACTGCAGTTTGAGTCCCGGACTTCGTGGCTTATAAATACTGTTGGGCATGTGTGTGTTTGTGCCCAAGATCCTGGGAGAAGAAAGGAAGAGAAGGGATTGTAATGTGGCCATTCTCCCTTGGGGGTGATTTCTCACTTTCCCTCTTGCTGTGTCTCTCTTTCTGCAGCAAGCACACAGCCCTAAGGCAAAAACTCCTTAAAAAAATACTTGAGTGTCTTTATTTAGAAAGGAAACCTTGTGTCATGACTGCAGCTTTATTTAGAAAAGAACCTTGTATCATGACTGTAACTGTGAAACTAAAGGTAATGAAAGGAAACCCTTTCTCGGTCTGCATGGCTACTGTTGCCCAACCAGGTTCTGACCAAGTTCCGCTCTTTTTTCTTTTCATTTTTTTTTTTTTTGAGAGATTTTTGCTGTGGGGGCATATGATCACCAGAGGGACAGAGAGACACAAAGTGAGAAACTGCCCCGGGGGGATGGTTGTGCCACAATCCCTTCTCCTCCATTCTCCTCTTGGTATTTTGGGCATGCACACACATGTGGCCAGTGTGTCTTAAGCTGTCAGGCCCGGGGCTTGAACTGCAGTCAGCTATGTGGGAGTCCAGGGACATAGCCATTATATCATCTGCTGGTCCCGATCCACTCCTTTCTTAACAAGAGAGACAGAGACGCTGCTTCTCTCTTTTGCTCAGGCCTGTCACTGCCGGGCAGCTCTGTAGCCACTCAGAACCACCCCACCCCTACCTCCTGTGTCTGTGAGAAAAATCGGAGCGAGTGTGTGGGGGGCTTGTCGTCTGCTTGGCTGCCGCAGCGAAGGACCACTGACGGCGGCTTCACCAGCAGCAATTCACTTTCTTACACTCTGGAACGCCAAGGTCGGGGCTGGCGGGGCTGGTTCTGGCACAGCCTCGCCCAGCTCGCAGACGGCTCCCTCTCAGCGCTTCCTTCATGGGGCCTTCCGTCACAGCAGGTGCATCCCTGTGTTCCTCTTCCCTTCTTGTGATGATGCCAGTCCTGTGGGGTCAGGGCCCACCCTTACGACCCCATTTACCTTACTTACCTCCTTGGCAGCCCTGTCTTCAAATGCACGCACATCGGGGCTTAGGGCTTCCTGTGAATTCAGGGGCAGGGGAGGATGCAATTCAGACACAGCACGAGGAGTCCCGGGAGTGACCAATTGCAGATCAAGACCCCCATCCCAGGCCTAGCCGCAGTGGCTCGGCCGGTACATGCTGCACCACAGGTGAGGCCACGAGGGAGGCCTGGGTCCGATTCCCACCCCACCCCCAAAACTGGGCGTGGCCACACATACCACAGTCTCAGCAACCCGGGAAGGTCAGACAGCACAGCGGACAGGCCTGTGGGAAGGTCAGACAGCACAGTGGGCAGGCCTGCCAGCTCCTCCTTGCAAATGGCAACACTTGCTCGAAAGGCAGGGCAGGGGCCCTCTGAGGTGACAGTGCAGCCTGAGCAGAGGTGCCTGAGGTGAGGGCACGTAACCTGTTTTGGTGGTGGTTGTGGTGACAGTGGAAGTGCACTGGGCAAAGCTGGGAGCTAGTGGGAGGATGCCGGAGACATCAGCTTAGGTTTGGCTCCATAAGCAGCGGGAGGCTAGAGCAGAGTTTAAGCAGGGGTGGTGGGATTCTCACTTTCTAAGCTGCGTACAGTCCCTGCTTGGTCCTGGGGATGGTGCCCTAACACCACAAGCCTTAGAGATGGGCCCATTGCTACGAGAGAGGGTGGACTTTGGGGCAGCCTGGAGCTGGAGCCAGCATCCTGTCCCCAGTCCAGCCTGACCCAGCCCAGCCCAGGACTTCCTGGCCAGGTTCCTCTTTCCTAAAGAGTCTGTGGCCCCGTTTCCTGACTCGTGAAATGAGGACCCTTACTCAAGCTTCTCTGGATTAAGTGCACCGGCATACGGGGGCTGTAAACGGGGCGCTGACCCAGACACTGTCTGGAACAGCAGCATGCCAGTTATCCAGAAGTTTCCACAGGGGGTGAGGGTTGCTGCTCTTAGTTCTTCAGAGTCTAGCCACTGCCCAGGAGGACCGAGGACAGTGACGAAGGGGATCCGTGGGGACATCCGGCCATCACATGGAGCTCTGGAGTCAGGTGGCGGCGTCTCTCCAGGGAGGCCACTTCTTTCTGGAACCACATCTGGAGATCCTGTCTGGGATCAGTTTTTGAGCCTCGTCAGTAGTAGCTCCCAAGGGTTCAAGCCCTAGCTCCAAACCCTGATCCTGGCACTGGGGCTCTGACTTCTAGAACCCTGTCTGTCCGTCATTTCTACCCCGGTGTCTTTCTTGATGGCTTCTGCCACCCTTCAGGTATCAGATCCATCTATAAGTTCATTCCTATTTCTGGGGCAATTCCACATATTCCTTCAAGTGCTTGGAAAAAAGATAATGTGGATATCTTCCCCTTTATTTTGCCTTCTGTGGACCAGGCTTTATCTGTTTTATTGCTTGATTTTCACAGCACCCCTGCAGACAGGAGTAGTGGGCTCATTTTATAGTTGGAGAAAGTGCGGCTTAGAGAGGCCCTGCTGAAGGTCACGCTGCTGGTACGTGATGGGGCTGGATTCACAGCCTGTTCCTCCTCACTGTTCCTGGAAACCCACAGGGATGTTCTGCCCTCAGAGGAAAGCATTCAGGTGTGTTACAGTGTTCTCCTTGAGACCAGCAGATGGCGTAATGGTTATGGTGCTGGACCCCCATGTAGTCGATCGTGGTTTGAGTTCCGGACCTGGTGGCTTAAAATGAACCCTGAGCCCGTGTGCATACATGCCCCAGATCCCGAGAGGACAGTGGAGGAAAGGGATTGTGGCATGGCCATCCCCCCACAGGGTGATTTCTGGTTTTCTG